TAAAAAAATTATTTTAAGTAGCAGTGCCTTAGCCTCAGTGAGCATTTTTGTGAGCTGCACAGAGATAACAGCGTGGGGCAGGTGATTCTACTGTGTATTCAGAGTTTAATACAGATGTAGTAAAGTCCTTCCCTTGAGAAAAATGCAGGTAAAGCTCAGCATTACTTGTTTTCTTTATCTGGACCGATTTGGTCAGAGGAGCTCATGTACTCCTGCACGCGACTGCGTGGCTCTGTGAGGATGGATGTACAGTTTTTGCAAGGAGGAGCAACGTGCAAGTTAGTGCAGGAATTCTTTGTCCCTGGAGAGCAGGAGGCAGTGGGGCTGAGGGAGCAGAGGGGTTGATACGCACTTTCTCTCTCCAGGGGGAGAAGTTCCTTGAGGCGTCTGGCAAGGGAGCTCCTGCTGATGCAAAGTGAGCCTGTTCTTAGGTTGCCAAAGCCTAAGACAGGGGTCAGAAGATGGGTGCAAAATCTCAGATGAAGAACACAAATGAATTATTCATGCAGGAAGCTGAAAATGCTGCCCTATTCCTTCCTTTCATACAGTGCTCAATCCTGTAACCTCTATTTTGGCATGCATTTGTAATGTAAATTTTCTTCTGCATTAAAGGCAAGGAGGATCACCAAACTGTGATAGCTTTGGTAGTGGGTTGGGGGTTATTTCAGGCGTCTGCACCACAGAGGCTAAGGTTTGAACATAAAAATTAACAGTATAACAACTACTACCATCATCATCCTTTCTCCTTAGATATTCTTTGCTGTGTGAGACAACTTCTGAAATTCAGGCTTTATGTGACTCCCAAGAATGCATGTTGCAGTAGTGTGAGCTCACTAGTGAAAGTGTACTGTGATTTATTAACCATACCAGGAGCCCTTCCTCTGCAGTTCCATGAGGTTTTGCTGCACGATATCCTGGCAAATAATAAAGCAAAGTTCAACCCAAAGGTGTAGAACTACAGTACCAGGCACTTACCTGTGGAATCCCTAATTTGTTAAAAGTGAAATACTTTGTGTTTTTGTTTTCTGGTCTAAGACAGAGATAAATGATTAAAAAACATTCTCTCTTGCTCAGACAGAAGTGAATTTTGGATGCTACAAATTACTTTCCTGTGAGTGCTCTTTCTTGCAGACGCTGCTACTCCTTCCTGTAATTAGACTGACTTTGTTTGCCAGATGTTCAGTGACAACATTATACTGCTGTAGTCTGTTTTCCAGTTGCTTTATTTGTTCCTAGGACAACTCCTTTCTTGCCTTTTCTTTCAGAGAGGAAATAGACAAAGGGAAAAAAATCCTTTACAAATGTTTTAAAGTGCAAAAGCTCGGACAATGGATTTTGCCCCTCTCTCTCTGTCTAACTGAAACAATGAAAGTCCTGCACTTTAATCTTCTTAGCCCTAGGGGGTCTTCTAATTATTGCAGCTGTTGCACAGGCTTATACATACTGACGTCCTCCTTCCCATTCATCTTGGAGGCTCTTTTATGTCTATTAGCTCCTCACTGGAAATGGAAGAGCCTTCAACTCTAAGAATAGGTGAAGTTTACCTTTTGGATCAGGGTGAGGAGAACAAAGCATTCTCTAAGTTCCTTTCCAGGATTTACAAATGACCAAAGGCTCTTCTCAACACTGCAAAAGCTACTTTAAATTGGCACTGATATTAACTCTTTAGTCCTGCCTTATTCGGGTGTCATAGGGATCCCAAACATGCCAGCTAGGAAGGGCAGTGGTTACTTCCAACATGGAAGGAATGAGAAGCGAGATAGCTGGTTGTGGAGAATGCATTCATATATATTTAAGCGGTAGGAAGCTTTAAAAAAATACAAGTTCAGAGAAATATCTTGCCATCTCCTGCTAAATTAATGAACCTTTTTGTGGTTGTACTGAGCAGCAGTGCTCTTGTGCCTAGCTGAAGTAATATAGCATCAGTTAAGCAATCTTGAGGAAAAAAAGCAAAACAAAACAAAAAAGAGGCAATTAATCTAAATGCATATCAAACACATTTTGTGTTTGTAAAGTAACAAATTGAGTGAACAAAGTGCTTCTCATACTTAGGCATTTCTGGTTTGATCCTGAGTTAGGGAGTCAGTGTCAAATATTGTATACTACAGAAACACCAATGCCACCAAAAAGAAAAATTTAAAATGTTTGTATATATTTAACAGTAATGTGCAGTAAAGCCAGATGCCCAGCTTGTGAATATTATTATGGGTTTGTGCTTATAATTCAGGGTAAAAGGTTTATCTGCTTCTGTTGTGAACTCTGTAAAACATGCCCATTTCTTATTTTTAGATCCAGAACATCAAGCAGGGTCACTTGAACTCATGTTTTTATTTACTACTATACCACTGAATATAGTAGTGCTCGTTTATACCAACAGGTAACTTGCTCACAGTGTCAACTAATGTTACAAAATTCTGAATATATTAAAATATACATATTTTAATGCATGCCACAGCTTTAAAAAACTTTCCAAATAATATTTTTGTTATTATAACCTTTTAAATTCCAAACATGATTAGTTGCTGTTGCCTAACACTTTATGTTGTGAGGTAGTGTTCTGTGCTGGACATGTGATAAAGGACTTTGTTGTTTAGGGTACACAAAACCAAAATATGTGCACGCATACGTGTGTGTGTATGTGTATACATATAAATACAGTTTTGTGCATGTTAAGACAGTGTAAATTTGCCCTAACCAGGCAATGGAGGATGCCCTATAAGAGGAAAAGTGCAGGGATACGGGAGCTAGTAAAGCTATCTCTCTGACATTCCCTTCCAATCTCTCCTGGTACAGACAGTTCACATTAATAAGAAAATGTGCTTGAGGCTGTGATTTAGCACTGAGGCTCTCTGGAGCGGTGTGGTCCCCATCCGTGCTGTTATGCTCCTTTGGTTCCCAGCACAGGATGAAGTTGTCCCTGGTCTTTTCTAGCTCCTGAAATCTGCCCAGAAATTGTTTGGAAGGGTGTTACAGGGCCTGGGCCAAATAATGCAGTGAACTAATCTAATAATTTAACAGTCTCGGTGACTGAATTGCAGGCACCTGGAATATTTAATTTAGTAATATATACACAGCCATAATTTTTCAGGGTGTATTCTTGTCACTGTTGCCAAACAATGCTTGGGTCCATTTGAAGCTGAAATTACATCGTTACTTGGAAGAAGCACTGTTTGTGATGGGTTCTGTCAGTGCTTCTGAAAAGGCATTTTATGGGGATGCTAGTGGCCTGTAAGCTTCCAGTTAGCGGCTGCAGCTGGTGTGTGACTCGATATTAAATGATGAAATATGGGGATTCCCAGCTTTTCCTCTTTTATTTTCCATTTCTCTGCCAGTAGCTTTGATAAAACTGGTGTCTGATGACTGAGGTTTAACCTACCTATGAGTAGTTTTCAGATAACGTATTCTATTTAAATTTCAGAAAACTTCTTAGTGAATAACAGCTAGAAGAAAAATTTGTATTTTCTATTTATTGGCCATGTCTGGACCTTTAATAAGTGGCAAAATTTTACTGAATTTGTCTGCATGAGAAAAAAATATTTGTAAATATGTTGGAACCTCTTGAATCAACACTTTACTAATTTACTCATATTTCTATTTATTTGTAAATTAGCATATTTCTTCCATCTTTCAACAATGCTCTAATAACAAAGACTCCTTGTTAAATTCATTATTGCTACAATGCCACTATTTCCTCAAACTGTATTACAGTATGTTATTTCCTCATCATGAAGTACTCCAATAAAATCACCAGAGAAAAGGAACATTTTATGGTTTATTTTCCTTGCTTTGTAGCCGTTCTGTGGAGTGGATATTTTACAGTGTTGCAATGTTTCTGAAGATTTTAGAATGCAATAAGTGAGGTTAAATGTTATTTTTCGGGGATCATTAGGGGGCATCTTTGATGTTAAACTGTAAAAGACACTGGCAGTAGGGGGGAAGTGAATTTGCAAAGTGGAATATCTGTCTTCTGCTGCTTTGGTGTTGGTGCTCTTTATGGTTTGCTTTAGGTGTGCATGTGCAGCTATTGCTGAATTCAGTGGGAATTATGTGTATATAGAAAACAGAATGTGGCTGCTAGACAGATCCTGTCTTAACCAAAACCATCTTAACTCTAGGTCTCCCTTTCCAAACGTCTGATGTGCTCAAGTAACTTAGAAATTGTTGAGATTCTTTCCAGAACCAGAAAGGCCCCAAATAAAAGAAATCGTTGTTTTGTCTGTTTCATTTGTAGCATGTGCAGGAAAATAGGGTTATGAAAAGTTAACCAAAAACCATATATTCATAAACATCATATTTGTAGGTTTGATGCATAGGAACAGACATCACAGCCATCACCGATTAACAACTCTGCATCAAAAGCAAAATTTTTTTGGTGTGCCCATTGGTCATGTGTCTCACTGAAGCTAGCAGACCTCGAGGACTCAAGGGATCCCCCATTCACGACACTCTTGCATGCAGCTACTGCAGCTGGCTGCTTCAGAAAGTCTGTTTTTAAGGCCCCTTTTTCTGAGGACTAGATGTACTTAGTCTTGTCTGGTCACACAGTTTTCCTTGAAACTGGATGTGCCATCTAGATCCATGAGCCAGTGTGTCAGGTAGCACTGTTAGCATGAGCAACCTTGCCTGCAGTGCAATTAGCCAACCAGCGTTTGGAACTGGAAGAGTACGGGTAATATCATTGACACGTTTTAACATTCATTCTCCCTTTTGATGACGGTGTAATACAGCAGTGAAAGTGCATTTATGGTTTAATTACTTTTTTCTGTGTGTACAGTGAATATAATTTCACCATTAATAACATCAGGTATTATATAGTTCCTGTGAGCAGCCACTAGAGGGAGGACATCATTTGTATGATAGCATATCTCTTAGCCTTTTACTATTTTTACTGTACCTACCTGATTTCAGCATTGTAACAATACCGAGGTAAAATTCCTGTATGATGATGGTGGCAGAAACGATGAATAATGTGTCACTAATGTAAGTTTTTGTCTTTTCAGGTGTTGTATTTCACTATCGTGCAGCAACCAGCAGGTATACTCTGAATTTTACACAAGCTCAGCAGACTTGTCTGGAAAACGGTGCTGTCATAGCAAGCCCAGAACAACTGAAAGCAGCCTATGAAGATGGATTTGAGCAATGTGATGCTGGATGGTTGTCTGACCAGACTGTTAGGTGAGACATTTAAAAGACCCCTTAACAGAGTTTCCCAAAATTCCTATGTACAGATTTAAAATGCTGAGTTGTTGTGATAATAAACACGGGCATGCTGCATTTCAGATATCCAATTAGACATCCAAGAATCGGCTGCTTTGGAGATAAAATGGGAAAGAAAGGAGTCAGAACATATGGACGCCGTTTTCCTAATGAAACTTATGATGTGTATTGCTATGTGGAACACATGGAAGGTAAGCATCGCGGATGGAGTGACACACTTCATAAGAGAGAAGGATCAATATGTTTACTGATATAAAATGGTGATTTGCAAAGTTTGCGAAGTAAATGCGACAATGGTTTAACAAGATTCAGTGGCGAGGTTCACTTGGTGCTTACTGCATAGAGGACAAGGTCAGACAAACTGTCAGAGAAACCCTCCCATTGAGTCATGGGGTTCAGAAAGGAACCCTTGTATTCTAAACTCCTTCTCAGAGAGGGGTCTAGGTGCAGCTGGATCCACACCTACTCCCAGACTTGGTCAGTGGTTTATGTCTGAAGGATTATACATGCACAGTTAATCCTTTATATCACTTAGTTAAGATTTCAAAGTTTAGCATGCTATTAATCACTTGCCGAGAATCTGCTGTGGCAAGGACTCTCTCAACCTTGAGGATTAGCCTTGAGAGATGTCCCGGCTTGAGGGGAGATCCTGGCACGCAGACTGCTGCTGCACGGGAGAGCTTAACAGGCCCTCGGCTGTCCACTATTCAGTAAGATAATTGACCTATAGTCGTATTTACATACTGACTACAGAAGTTAGTTTCTTCCAAGTTTGGCTTGAGTCAGACACTGACAGGCACTGTGGTTAGGTGGGCGCACCGTTCAAGTTAGCCTTTGGCTATTGTGTTGTCATCTGTCTCCCCTGCATCCACTCTGAGCCTGATGCTGTCATCACGGCCAGACGTGTCCAGTACAAACACCACGGGTGGTTACCCCTTGGCCAGGGTTACGGGAAATATAGGTCAGGTTGGGGGGGTGGGAGGGGTGAGGCAAGCACACTGCCACAGTTAGATAGGTCCATATTTACTCTGCGCTGCAAAATTTAAAAGTGACTGTGGAGCTTCTAATGTGGAAAGGCAAAGAAATAAGAAATTCTGTGTAAAACAAGTTTTGGCTGTCTGAATCTGAAGAGAATTGCTGATTGAAGTGAACCTATAATTTGTGGTCTAGCAGGCCTTAATTAAAGGCAAATATGGAGTCTACAAAGGGACAGTCAGGTTTAAAGCAGCTATAGTTAGTGCAGCAGATCTCACAATAGTTGCTGTAGAAGCATCTTTATTTTTTGAATGTTATAAAAGGATTTTCAAAGAAATGCATATTTGAGAAACTATATATACTGTATGTATATATAAAAACATGGATATAGTATGTGCTAACTGTATTATGTTCATAAAGTATGTAATTAAGTTTTTTATGTGCCCATGGCATAAAATTAGACAGATATTTAATTGAACTCCAAGTTTAATAATATCTTTTTAAAAAAGGGTCATCTCAGCATCAGAAAGAAACAAACAAGGAAAAACTGCTGAGGAATTTGGATCTTCTTTAGTAAAATTCTTTGCAGTTCCATAGTATGACTACAGTATTTGCAAAAGCTGCTAATTAAACAGCTCTAATGTAGCAGAGTGATGATGATTCTGCCACGTGGGTTCTACGAACCATGGTTCATATTGTGAACCTCATGGTACCCTGTGATCCATGGTTAGGCTCTGTGATTGGTCTTTGTTTAGCAAAGATATTGACAGTAGAATGAAAAATATGGTAAATTTTTCTGTAATTGGACAGTGCATGCAGAAATCTCCCTATTACAGGTGTGATGTTGTAACTGTTTCTTATAATCTCTCTTCTGGAAGTGAATTTAACTCTATCCTTTCAGTGGGCCTATAGATACGTTCCAGACACCAGACATCCTTATGCTTAGACATTACTGTGACTAGTTAAATAAGTATCCTTAAAATATAAATGCAGAAATAGCCTTTCCTGTCACCTATTTTTTTTTGGCTTTGTGCTGGTTATGCACATGGGAACTTCATTCTGGTACAGAAATACTTTGCAACCAAGACCAAAGTACATTTTCCATTTACTGCAGTGGTCTGAGTGTATCACACTGCTTCTGTCATGACAGGGTTTTATTCCATACCAGTTTCACTGTTCCTTTCTAAAAAAATACTTATAGTTCCTAATTATATATCTTTTGGGTTGATTTTTTACTTATATGCATGTAGTTTGTTCTCCTCAGCAGAACAATAAATCAGCCAGGGCTCTGAGCAAGCCTGCCTTTGTTTGTGTACATATATTTGTAACAAGCAATAACAAAATTAAGGTGCTCAGTGTTTGTATTCTATCACAGAGCAGAAATAAATTAGATCATGGAAAGTTTTCTCCTCCTTGATGATTTATAGAAACTTTAGTTACTGAAATCAGTAAGTGTTTTTCTCTTAGTAGCCAAGGATCTGCCACAGACTACATTCACCTTGGAGAATTATAAAATGCAAGCAATACAAGTCCTACAAAGACTCAAACAGACAGACACTTGGGAAGTCTGAAAATTAAGTGATGGAATTTTGTTTGTGCTCACCGTTGTCTTAATTTTATGTTCCATCTATATCCATCAATGAACAACACATATGAACACCCAGAGTTCATAACATTGATTCTCCATCAATCCTTGATGGGATTGAATTCTGAATAATTTATGAATCAAGGCTTTCAAATTCAATTTGGGTCTTTCTTAGGTTACAGAAATAAGTTTTGACTAATCCTTATCATTCCTGCATGAAGAGCAATGCCTTGTTCCTTTCCCTCTTAAGAACCGAAAAGTGTAATGGAGAAGCTTATCCTGAATGCATGTGAGCCAGCACTTTGTCAGGGACACATATTCTCACTGACCTTTTAAAAATAAAAATTTAAAAAAATCAAAACTGAAGCCTACCTCACCGAAGCTAATATTCTGTGCTTAGAACAATCTGGAAGGAAGCCGTGAGGTTCAACGAGGTTGCAGTGACTGTGCAGTCTTTGGTGAAGGTACACATGCATAGACTTTTCGTTGTTCATGAACATTAATTGACTCTTCTTTGTTACAAAATTTTGTTTACCAGGATTTATGATCTGGCTTTATGTCTCTGGGTAGCTCTACATTTCTGTCCTATTGCTGTGGGTGATGATCTGTTTAAAGGTATTCATGTCTGTGTGGTCTTTCGGCTAGACTGTGGTAATGTGATCTGCTTGGCTATGAAATCTCCAGCATTTAAGAAATATAAACTAGCTCAGAATATTGGGGAGATTTAGTCTCTATCAACCCAGGTGACAACAAGCACGTACATTTGACAGCACTGAACATGTAAAAAACCTCATCTTTAAGCTATTTATGTAGCAGAAAGGTCCTGTATGTGCTGTGAAGCCATGACTGCTGTGAATAGTTACCTGAGATAATTACCAATTAGGTGTACAGCCTCAATCCCACTGCATAGGGATTTATTTTCTTTTCTGATTATATTGATTGATTTTAATGCCAGATTATTATGATAGTTAAATGAGGATACTTTTCCCCATCCTTTTGTCTAGGTGTTTTTTCTACCTATTTTCCCAGAAGTTTTCAAATGAACTGGTGTCTGAAAATAACTTATAGGAGTCAGAAGGAGTGATGGTTTTATGGATATAGGGTATGGGCACGGTATAGGCATGTTATACTGACATGCAGAGGAGTTAATTTATTCCATTTTGATGAAAAGAAATAGATGCATGTTCCACGGTACCACACCATGGTATAGTGCAGGATAAATTACTCTTCAGTGCTTTTACACAAACCTGAACCTCTGAGCCAGAGTTCCCTTTTAAGATGGGGCTAAGGAGCCAACATGGCTGTCTATTTAACAGAAGCAGTTTCTGTAAGAACAAAGGTTAAGTTCAAATACAGAGCTTGTATGAAGCAACACAGCATCAATGAGATTACACTTTTTAACCACACATCCGTATGTCAACAGAAGCTATTAAAAGGTGAACATTGCAGTAAACTAGATCCAGTGTTTGCTGTATTGTAACACATTCATGTACTTGTAGAAGACGTACTGTTCAAGATTTAAGTTTATGACAAATTTCTGATTGCCCTGACCACCCAAGGCTGATTCTACAAGGTATGACCTTTCTCTTGTAATAAGCACTCTCAACACTCCCTTAATAACAAAGGACCTTCATGGTATAGTGTAGAACTGTGTTAGTATACTGTAAAGTTCTGTTTAAACATGATTGTTTCCATGTGAATTTGAAAGTTCATATCTGCATAGCCTATTCCGATTCAATGACAAATCTCTTAGACTTGCACTGAAGAGGTCCTTATTTGGAGAGCCTGTGTCAGTGCGATGACTATTCATGGAATAAGATGTTGCCAGATTAATGATATCAAAATCTGGGCCATAATGAGAATGTCATCATGGAAGTCATTGAACAGTTATTGGTCTGTTGGCCGCTATTAACATGTTACCCCAGAAGGCCATAAATGGCGGTAGAAATTCTTGCAATTATTTTAAAATAAATGTGTCTTGAATTTACAGTACTAATTTGGGTACTTGCACTGAGGATTTGTGGGAGCAACACCATTTCAGTTTTCTTCCTTTCTGGCCATATGAAATTACAAAGTTAGCCAGAGACTTGGATTTCTCCTTGAAACACAAACTATTAACTTAAATTAAAACCAGTTGTCTAGGCTAACTCTTACTGTTTCCTTGTTCTGAGGAAAGCCAGAGAGATTAGACTGCACAATTATAAGTTAAATATTTTGAGTTTTTCTAAAACACACAGAAGAACAATTATGGAAACGATTTAAAATTTCTGAGCTCCTAGTGATAGAAATAAGAATCTGAAGTTAAAATATCATTCAATAGGTACTGGTCATGGTCTCTTATTACAAACTGAACTACATTCCCCATATTTCACCACATATTTCAGTGCACAGAGCATTAACAAAAAACATTTAGGATACCTTTAAATGTGGGAGATTATTTACTAATAAAGAGTTTAATCTAAAATGATTGAGCTGAAAAGGTTTGAATATAACTCTGAGGTTCTCTTAACACCTCCAGCTGAAGCAGTGTCTGCACCTGCGTCTTCTATGGAATAATTCTTTGAATGGAAATGGGTGATGGGGAAGGAGGGGTTTCCATTCTCTTTTCAGATAAGTGTATGTGATTGATTT